TGCTTTGCATATTATCTATTGACGGTACTTTTCGTTTCTAGGACTGTATATACGAATATCATTGATGATGGCCAGTGTATCTATCGATGAATGGTTAACAGTCCCGGGAGTACAGACCAGGGGCCATACTTTCAAAATCTGCTAAGTGAACGTAAGTACTTACGCTCTATTTTCTTGTCTGTGATTGATGGATTTTGTTTGAAAGGCCGTCAATGATTGGCTGATGAACTTACGATCTCTTAACTTTTTTTCAAAGTATGGGCCCAGAGCGCTGACTGAGTCAGGGACGTACAGTCCCGCTGCTGTAAGGACCACCATGGCACTTGGGACGCAGCCATTACTGGTTGCGCCCGTCACACGCAACCTGCCTACAGATTGCGCCCGTTACACGCAACCTGCCTACAGGTTGCGCCCGTCACACGCAACCTGCCTACAGGTTGCGCCCGTCACACGCAACCTGCCTACAGGTTGCCCCCGTCACAATCAACCTGCCTACAAGTGACCCAGCTGTGTTGTTTGTCTTTTATTAGCAAAGCATGTGCTTTGAAGTCCTTATAACAACCATGATTCAACTTGATACTTGTTTAGATTGGTCACGAGTTCTCCGTTACATCGAATTTAGATGCAAAATAACCATATTATTTATAGCTTGAGCTTCCGAAGTATGCAATTTGGTTAATGGAATAAGTGATTTTTGATTCGGATGACAGAGCAATTAAACATCTTTATTGCGCATGCTGCCATTTTTCAATTTCATGTTTCGGTCCAATGTCTTCTTCCCCTCAAAAATTTTCATGCATTTTTGTTAGCAAATATTTTCAGATCAGATTAAATTTAAAAAAAATCACGCCATTCACATCCGAATGTATTGCAATTTCTCCGCCCTTCAGGTCTTAAATGAAACTCACAAAGTCTTCATCCCCTTCCCTGAAAGAATACGCTCTATATTCTCATAATGAGATGAGAAACGGAACATTATCTGCAGTAGTCCTAATCAGTAGTCCTGCTAATATATTCCGGGAGTTCATTTACCGCAGGTGATCGCACCACGCGTTGCTCGACACCTTCCCTGTTCACTCGAGCGCGACCTGCTCTTCCATATTTCCAGCGATCGTGGTCCAATAATCCCTTCAATAATTCCTGCCTGTGAATTCCTCTTCCTCCATCAATCGCTAGACTCGTGCCTTTAAAATTAGCCAAACTTGCTAAGTCTATGATCGTGAAGAGCGAAAATTCCTCAAGCGCATCGCAACCTCCCGAAAGTCACGCCTTGAAATGGAATCCAATCGTTCTTGTCAGGTATTAAATTCGATCAAGCTCTATTTCTTGTGCTCTTTTCTTTGGAGCCACAGCTGCATTAATTCCAGCACCGTATAGCTTCACTGAGCAACGTTTTTCTTTACTGTGAATCAACCGAATTTTGTTTTTGCGTCGATTGCCAATTGAAAAAATTCGCATTTTTACCAGCTATGTACTCGCGGGAATACGTTCTAATAAATCTCCAATATAAATAAATCAAAATTTGATTCAATATTTGAAATAAATAAATATATCAATAAATCGCTCATCAAAAAATCTCCTAACAATTGCGTTATTCAGATGATTAAAAAAAACTGTCCCAGGATCTAGTCAAAAAAGTGATGGAACATCCGGGAAAAATTTAAGAATTTAGAGAGATTTGCGGTTGCTTACTTTCACATGGACCACAAAATACAAATAATTTTAAAGCCGCTCTAAATTCTTACATAATAAAATTTGCAATGATGATGTATTCGTTAAAAAAATTATAACAAAATTATGACGAAAATTCTTAGATCAAAGGTTGCCAGGAATAAAAATTCATTTGAATAATAATTCAAAACAATTTGATTCGCATTTGTCAGTCCAAGGGCTGTAGATAATTGAATTATGCCCGAAAGTTTCTAGCACAAGTCAGTGCCTCACATAAATAACACAACAATTTCTATTTACCCGGATTCATAAAAATCCTTTTAAAAGTTACACTGATATTAAACATAATAAACATTTCCCAGAGAAGCACAATCGCTTAAATATCCTTGTGTGCTTGTACAGATCATTGCGGTCTGGCGAGTGACCGGACTCTGTATCAGCGACCGCTTCTAAGATGCTGCTATTACCGATGCGTATCTTGCCCCGAGCACACACAGCAATACTCAAGCTCGTATCTCTGAACTATTAAGAGAAATCTCCGCTCCCATGACGTACAAATGGCTAGCTGCACCGAAGTTTCAGTAAATGTGGCGCATCTTCAGCAACAAGCTCGCTTTTCTGCCTCTTGCGCACATAACGCTTCAGCAGCCAAGCATTGCCACGCGCAGTCTTTTACCACGGGCAGTTGAATCCTTTGGTACACTTAAATCTCTTCCGCAGTACCTTAGTCAAACCGACGATTTCTTCACGAAATTCATATAGCCGCATTCAGGGATAGTTTTACTGAAAGTCGCTGGACATGAACGAAGCAGCGGAGAGCTTTGCCCGTCTGCAGTTCACTGGCCTCCACGAGTTCAAAAATGTTCGAGAAATCCAAAAAGTACGGTGGGATTGGAACCTTCATGAATTCTTACAATAATTTTATGATCTTACAAATTAAGCAGATAATTAACTAAGTTGTGAGTGGAAAGGTGTTCAATAGACCTCGGGAAATGATCCCAAGGCGTATTATTGACTTATCGTTCGATTTAACCGTCGTGAAAACGTAGCAACCTCGTATCTACTACGGACATGTGTCAGCAATCAGTGTTCCATCTCAGTCGAGGGAAGAAATCGACCCTGAAAGTTCGTGATTATTCCTCTTACTCTCTCCCACGTGGTCCCGTCAGAATCGTGTCTACAGATTACCTTCTTTTCATTATACGTAAGGTTGGCCTCTGAGATGGCGCGTTGTCTAATGACCCTTATTGATGCTGCGCCTGTAGTGGTACGTACGGTATCCATTATCCTGTTAATTTGACGAGGAGTTGTATGCGGTCACGGTAAAGTCTCACTCATTAGAGGGTGGAGTGCCACGCTGTGGGAATATTCGTCTCAAAACCTATCTGAAGTTTGCCATCTTGTGCTGGGCTAGTCACACTCAACTACGTTATTTTAAAAGCCCTCAGAACAACACTCTAATGATGGATGCTCTCACCCGAAGAGCTGGCCGACATTCGGAAGCGTTCACTTCCTTTCTTGGACCTGAAGAGTTGTTAGCGTGGGCAAGATGAACAGGCGCCATTAACGCCTAATTACAAACTCGTACAATTTTGAACGCTTCGCCGAGCGTGACACCAAAACGTTTGAAAAATATTGGTCGTAATTTTTAAAAGAACTTAATGATTTTTAGATGAAATAAACTTCGACCGTATGATGAGAAAACTACGCATTATTGAAAAACCATTTCATTGCGATGAAATTTGTCAGGAGTTGGTGGGTAAGGATTAATTTGCAAAACAATACGAAATTGGGTGCTTACTGAATTTAAAAGAGAAATTGCTTCCTGCCATTTTAAAGCACATTATTGCTTGCCATGCGCACGATAATGCGCGTAAAACGAGTACGTAAAATACGAAAGCGCATGTAATATGTAAACATGTAAGTTTATTTTACGAACTAAACAAAAGTTGAGCGATCGTGAGATATTCCACAGAAGCAGAATTTATTTATGACTTATATCCAAGTTTTAAAGGTTGTTGCGAGCTGTAAATCTGCTTGCCTTACGGTTGTTAATTCCTGAAATTATACCATTAATTGCCCGCTACACTCGGCGTCCTCGGCTTTTCAGAAGTTACGGCGTCTTTAGTGGACGTTATTGCGCGAGATCCCCGCCCACGACACGCCGCCCGCCGCCCATCAGAGACGCCACGCGCGGACGTGCGTTGCGCGACACCTTCGGCGTCAGGGACGAAGTGGACGGACAGACATGAGGTGTCAGGGACGAAGAGTACGGACAGACATGAGGGGTCAGGGACCTGTCTCTTATACACATCTAGATGTGTATAAGAGACAGGTTCAAGAGGCCTTCACTCGTAGAAGATATGACGTACAAGAGGCCTTGCAAACTTTGTGACGTTTGGGGAGAGGAGACGGTAACAAAACGGCTTTAAAAAGGCCACCCAGCAAGCAGCGTCAAGTACATTGCTAAACACTGCTTACCTATCAGTTCGCGGAGGACTAAAATCGAAACTCGTTTTATGCATTCGCATTAAACGAGTTTCTTACGAAGGTGAATGAAATTCGGGGATTGTTAATTGCGTAAAGGTTTAGTTAACTCGTCAACTTCAATAAAATTCTTTAGAAACCTTGCCTCACTCCCCGGCGTCAGATGTGCAATTGGTCTCCAGTTGGTCGACTGTCAGTCCTCACCACGGGTTGAACATAGCGAGTGGATGACCATCGCTACGATATACTTAAACCCTGTCTCACCGTGGCATGCGCGTCGTGATTTCCCATCAGTACGGAATGGGCACAAGTCTAATACGCGAGTATTAGACACTGGATACTCTATTTCTGGCACCTAGCGAGAATCAATTCCAGGATACTGCTGTAAGTTAGGTTCGAGGATGCTTGGGTGCGGTATTCGGGATCCTCAGTGGCGCTGGGGAATTTGAGCCGTTCTAATCTCTTTAAATGTTGAAATTTCATTCGTTCGATAACAAAGCTAGAACAAAGACTAACTATAAATAATCCACGAGATTCTCCCTCCACTCAAACTCTGCTTCCAGCTGGTCATCTCTTCCGAGAAATGTACTGGATCAAGGGTGGAATTCGCAGCATGCCCGTACCATGTCTCCTACTTTCAGGGCTATTAGTTCAGCAAAAGTCAAATTATCAAACCCGAGCAGCAAGAATTGACCGATATGCCTCCTATGTTTCGTGGCTAGCTTCATGTGGCTTTCTCCCTGGTAGCCATGAAAACTTAACCTGCCTATGATGTAAGGAGGATACACCCTCATTCGTTTGACAACCGTTCATGATAATTTTGCTCGGAGAGAAACACAAAGAACATTACACATGTTTATTGACGGGTCATACGATTGTTCAAACAATGTGATCATTCTAACTTTAAAAACATCGAGCATGAAGGTTAAGTTAAAATACCTCGCGAAGTTAAAAATGCTGAAAAGCTAAAGTTACAGGGAATTAAAATCTGAACTTCCGACAAATTAGGCTCGAACATGTCAACTATTAAATTACTCTACGTCTTTCTTAGTTATTCGCCGATAGGCATGAAATAATCTGGCATAAAAACTACATAAAAAACAACGACTGAGTGAACATTCATCCCCAACCGGCTAAACGGTCATGAAGAGCCGTTCATCCTAAAATACAGCGTCTCCTCATTGTCTCCTCCAGTACAACGCACACAGAAATCCTATGCAAAACCATATTAGAATGCCGACTATTCTGCCGGCAACCCAAGTCTCTATGGAAACTTGGACTGAGCGTTGACCGAGGCTGGCGCCAGCGTTAGGGTTATGATGGCGGGATAGTTCCTGTAGAGCTTCAAAGTTCACAAACAAGGAGAGCGACATCCCATTCCTGAGGTAGGGGTGCAGAGTGGATGGACCACCGGATGGGCGCATGTCGAAGGTGCCGAGAAGGGCACCTTCGGGGTCCCGCAGTTCGAGCGTGTACTGGAAAAGGTTGTTCTGACTGCCAGCCATTAATGTAAGTTGTCTGCTGGAGACAACTCCTGACGAGTTGCGGCCGGTGGGCACAGACATATTGCCACTGATGTTTGTAGGAAGATCTTGTCCGGTTATCCGCAAGGGTCGTTATCGGGCCTGAAAACAAGTTCGAAAGGTTAGGCACGACTGATTTACTGCTTTATTGCAAATACGTAACACAGCAGCAAGCATTGTTATACCATTAGTATGGTTACATTGGTCTAAGTAAGTCTAAAGTACATCAGATTTGTCCGAGGAAACGTTGTACACCTAAAATTCAGAATCCAAGTCAGTATGCCAACGCTGCGACCGAAAAAAACACCAGTCTAAGTCGAAGCGCAATACGTTTTCAGCAATGTTAGGTGCGTACAAATATGGCGATTTTCCGCAACAACAAATGTTACTCGAGCCTTATCCTCTCGAAAAGGTAAGTCTTGCATTCAACTCCTGCTTATTTTAAGCTAAACCGAGCCAAGCTCAAGCCGCAATAATTCCCCAGAGGCTTGTACACTATGGCAGTAGTCTACCTAGCACGGAAGGGACATAAGACTCTTTAGAACTTATGTTCATCAAGTAGAACCGAACCTCCCGAGGACTATCCGTATGTATAGCCATCGTCGGTGTTAAGCGTAGCTATAAGGGAACACTTTAAGATACAATTGAGGGTTTCTCAACAAGGATTTTGCCGAAGACCAACGACTGCACTCTGTGCCAGTACATATCCAAAATATACTAGACCGTACATTCACTGTACTTGACCACACAACTATGGCGATTGAAAACAATTAGCAAATTTCCTTGCACTAGACACCCACTCACCTGGCCTGTACTGTCACAATGAGAGGTAGAGATGCTGTGAGACGTGAAGATTTGAACGCAGCAAGTTTTATAGTCTGCCTTAGCATTGGCTTGATTCTGTCGAATAAGAATACAACACCGATGTTGTATTCTCCGGCCATAATTAAATAAGCAGGAAGGCAGTTAATCGCATTATAACAGTTGAATAGCGTTTGGGTCGGAGGTAAATTTCCTGTCACTCTAGTGGAAAAGACGGTCGAAGTGATTCTACCTGCAGCCGACTTCCAAATATAAGCAGTGAATAGTATGTATTATAATTCCTCCGCCATTTGCTTGGAATAATGTACAAGCAAGGCAGTTTCGATAATTATTTGTGTTGTGGTTACACTGCCGTCGCAATGTATCGTGAGTATCACCCGCTGTTAGGGACATATTTGAATGCTACTACTTAGATGTAGAAAGAAAATTGTTAGAAGAAGCTAGTATGTGTGAAGTTCCTTTAAGTTTTTTTAGATTCCCTATATATATAGATTGTATGTAAATTTTTAAATGCTAACGTCCAATATTGATATTTATATTTAGAGATATTTAGATTGTAGCCTATATGTAAATTTAAATGCTAACGTCCAATAGTAAGATGTTCGTATAACTTCTGGTGGGTTAAAATTCAATAAATATCTGACGGCGAAGTTTCGAAAGATATTAGATAAGATAAGTCCCTCCGCTTCTGTCCATACTCACAGAAGAGGATGTGAAATTTCAAATAATATCTGAAGTGTTAACCGAGCGCAGAAATGTCCGCTCTCTTATTTGTGTTATTTAGAGTTAAGATATTCTTGCGAAAGATTGTGATCGAATAGAGAGCAGGGGAAAATAATAAATTAAATGTTTCAGCATACAATAAAATTTGTAAACAATTTAAGATGAATAAAAATTTGTGTACCTAAACGTGTTTGTACTGTTGATGTTCTAAGAAAAGTTGTACTGTTTTCGGTCGATACGGATCCAACGACGAACTAATATATGGAAATTAAAATTTTTAAACATTTCTGTCCTGAAACGTCTCCTCTTAAACGAACATTATTTGTAATTAAACCAATTTGACCAAAAAATTCTTCTTGAGACGTAAAAATTTATATGGTAGCAAGCTCAGGCCTTGTACTCTAAGGGCTTTTAAAAACCATGCATATGACTCATAATAATAATTAAAACGCCTTGCAGCATTTGTGATAACCATCCGGCGTTCGCTCTGCATTCTAACGTTCCCGTGAACGTTACCAGCGTTGGTGAGCTGCATAGAACCCTGGGGCCATACTTTCAAAACTCGCTAAGTGAACGTAAGTACTTACGCTCTATTTTCATGTCTATGATTAAGTGAACGTAAGTACTTACGCTCTATTTTCTTGTCTATGATTGGTGGATTTTGCTTGAAAGGCCGTCAATGATTGGCTGATGAACTTACGATCTCTTAACTTTTTTTTGTAAGTATGGGTCCTGATCTAGAACTGGACTTGGTATTCGAGGACAGGAGATTTATACCTCGACAGGATCTGAGAAGTTTTACGTAGTTTGCTTAAATATTGACGTCTGATAAATTCTAATACCCTCGTGCGCCTAATTCGATCGATTTCTTCGCTTTATGTGCTGCTAAAATATTAGTGTTTTATGCACTTAATCAAAAATGGAGTGTAGTAAAGAAGGACTTTGAACAGGGTTGAAAATATGAGAGCTTCAGTCAATATTATTGTTTATGTGCTGCTTAAATTTAAGGGTTTTATGCACTTAATCAAAAATGGAGTGTAGTAAAGAAGGACTTTGAACAGGGTTGAAGATATGAGAGCTTCAGTCAATATTATTGTTTCAATGCTAGACAAAAATGGAAAAAATCAAAAAAATACTGCAAAAATAATTTTTTTCACCGTGATTCGAGTTCACGTGCATGCTGGCTTCTATACATATTACATCGTCTAAATAAGTGAAGCTTCATCTGAAGCAAGGCTCGATTTCAGAAGGTCTTTCGGGGGGAAGAAACATACATGAATATTTTAAACCTCGAGCGTTGATACGGCAAAAGATGTATGTATAGCTATTAGCTACATGTCCATTACACACACACGTGTTAACACTCACAAGTAATTATCAATGTTTGAAGAAGAATCAGGATTTTGATGAAAATGTTCTGCAATTTTTTCATTTATCTGTGCTTGTCAACACAGTTTCTCAACGCAGTTATCAACGCAGTTTCTGGGACGGGAATAATGTGGAATCAACTGTAAAAAAATTATATTACTATAGAAATCTATAGGAAATAATTCATTTCACGAACTCCGACTGACTCAGGTCCCCGAAATAAAATGTACAGCTGTTTCTCTGCCGTATGTTCTTAGATAACCCCGTATTGGTTGTCCAGGAGAGCCCGAGACCACGGAAAGGTAGGAAGTGATTCTTCCTTGCCGTGTGTTCATACATGGCCCGCATATGTGATAGTGGAGAGCAAGGGAACACACATATTAAAAAGAATTTTTTTTAAAGGCCTCCCACACTCAAGATTCCAACAAAAAGGACTTAATTTTATTAATTAAAAACAGGGAATGGTTTCATGTCAATGATCAGGGCCCCGACCTTAACGCCTCTGATGGTGGCCTACACCTGTCTCTTATACACATCTAGATGTGTATAAGAGACAGCTCTTCAAGTGTTCGGGATATCGTTTCATAAAGACTGCAAATGATAGTAAATCGCTTGTTAGTTTTAAATTGCTTAGAGATTCGCTTGATCCTTGGTTGGCATTAAAAGGCTCGTAATTGAAATACGTTGCATGGTTGATTGACATTGACAAATCCATTTCAGGTCAAGAAGATATCGCCCTCCGTCGAACAAATATTGATTTTTCTGAAAATTGAGCAAGCCAATACCCATGCCTCGGAGGAACATGATCATTGACATCGCAGGCTCTGATGAGAGCGATGATAACCTCGTTATAGCGCTTCAAGAACCTGACTGGCCTGGTCTCGACGATTTGATGGAGAGGATGGAGCTCATGAACAGATATTTACCAGAAGAACATAGAATACCACCGCCTGTTGCCCTGAATGTCGAGGTGAGGAGACCCGGGCTTGCGGACCGGACAGCTCCTCCACGCAATAGACGGAGTCGGAGTTTGTCGGCATTAGACTCACGCGACGCTCTGAACCCCGTGGTTTTGAAAGAAGTGGAAGATTTCTTGGACCGCGAGCTGCGGCGTATGCGACGCAGGAAAAGGTACCGCCGCCGCCGCCGCTCACGTCCTCTGCGCGCGACCAGATATCGCCCCCGCGCACAAGTGCAGGAAATCGCATTACGCCCGAATGTTGGGGTGCGATCTAAATTCATCATTGGCATCGTCCTAGCTGCGACCGTCGCCCTTTCGTGCATTTTTTTCTTCAAGCTCTCTGCTTCAATCATGGAGATTTTTAGTCCCTAATGTCACATCGATATTAGCTTAGGTCCTTAGGAGTTTTAATCAATTTAATCATGACTGCGGTAATTTTATGCATCTAGACGTTGGCTTTCCAGGAAGCTTTTACATACCTCGGATTAATTTTGATTATAATTTTCCGTGGTTTTGACTTACTACTGTAATGCGTGACCAAACTGTTTGATTGAACGCATTTATCCATGATTGTAGTAAATTTGACGGAAAATCAAAATTTTCTGTCTTCATTCCCTATGCGTGCGAGCGTTCAAGCTTTCATGGTCACTGACCACAATTGTCCAAATTTTGAGATTCTTCCCTTCAACATTGAGAAAAAACGTGGTTGACTCCCTATGGTACCAGGCAAATGACATTCTGTTCAGAAACATTATGTCAAGGGTACTGAATTTTCAATCATTGGATTCTTAGAGGGTCTAGAAGCAAATTTCTTGCTATACGTCAGAAATTCCAGCCACATATTCAACCTCTTGACCCAAGGGTTCAAACTCAGTAGCATTTCCTGGGCACTGCTGCGAGTCGTCAGAGTGAAGGGGCGATACAACAACGCCGGAACAATGCAGCAACTAATCATGGCTGGCGTGTCGTAGTAAATTTCTTGCCATCGAAGTTACAGATAGTTAATATTAAGTAATTAAGCCGCTCGTCTATATCGCTGAAATATATGTGCATAATGGAACCATTTGCCTCTCCCAGGCTAAGAGCGAAGAGAGGAAGGTATACGTTGCCTTATAAGTTTGGTTCGAAGCAAAGATGTCTTTCCGAACGCTTAATTGAACAGAAAACTTGGAAAATAGAAAAATATATATACAATTATACAGTTTACTTTTTACTTTGGGATTTATTAAAGGGGTCTTGCGACGAGTTTCGATCGAAATGGCTATAACCACGTAATAATTTTCGTCAATTGAAGTATTTAGATTTTCAGTTTTGGACGTCCCATCTTAAAGCGAACATCATTTTCCGTTTCACCTCGCAATGCGATAAATTTATCATGCAGCAAGCTCCGGCATTTTATCCTAGAGGCGTTGGAAACCAAATGACTCATAATAATTCAAAAGCCTCGAAGTATCTGTAATAAACATTGGTTACCTCCCCGGAATAACATTTGTTGTGATACTGTCGTTTTGGCGTTTAAGTACGGAGATCATTCACCATTCAAAGTTGCCGGCGCTGGTGAACTATTACAACCTCGATTTAGAACTGGACTTTGACTCTGAAGAAGTTATTCGAGGAGTTTTTCATTGACTTTTAAGATATTTACGCCTTATAAATACTAATATTTTCCACATAATCCGATCGTTTTTATCGTTTTATGTGCTGCTCGAGTTTCCTTTTGCATGAATCATAACTCAAGAGAGTCTAAGAATATATAAGGATTTTAAAACGCAGGTTAAGTATATATATGAGAGATCCGGTCAATGCGAAAAAAGTCGAGAAAAATTATTGCAAAAGAGAATTACGGTGATTTTATTTTATGTGAATGCTTACTCTAAGGCATCACACATTGTCAGAAGTGAAGCTAAACTTGCAACTTAATCAAGGCTCAATTAATATCAGAAGTGCGTCCGTAAGATTAAACCCAAAAGAGTTCATTTCAAACCTCGTTTGTAGATAACTCAAACGATGTGTAAATACACTTACTCGCTGCCGTGTTAACACTGACGAGTAATAATTATTATTTGAAGAATGATAGATAGCTCATTCGAGCTTGATTTCTCATTATTATAGAATTCATTTTCACAGGAGAACGAAAGTTATACCATTATCATCCGAAATTTCTTAGTGCGATATTTACCAAGGC